CCTTCCTTCCTTCCTTCCTTCCTTCCTTCCTTCCCTCCCTCCCTCCCTCCCTCCCTCCCTGTGGGGAGGGGGGTCCTTGTTTGGGGAGTTTAAGCCTATTTTGGGCATTAGTGTTTTCTGCTTCAAAACTGGCAACATGATAGAAAGGATGTCAATGGCCCACCCAAAAAAAGAAAAGAAAAAGAAAGGGTATTAAACCACATTCAGCATCAGTGATAGAACAGTGAAAACTTTTAAACAAAATCAGGCTTGATTTTTATAGGATTCACGGAGAAGCTGATAGCAGCAGCTTCAAGAGGTGAGGTTGTGGAGAGGGGGCTAAAATAGATTTGGCTAATATGTAGTGGGAGCCCAGCCACTGTCTTTGTATGTTGTGGGAACCAGACCTACATGATGTGCCAGGATATGATTTCTTTGAATGGACAGCATAGTATCTTAGGGGAAAATAGAAACTGAGCTTTGCTAATTCAGATTTAGGATGTATTATGTGGTATAAAGCCAGCCTATGTTGAAGAACATGCATGAATAGCCAATTATCAAGCTCATCTTAATAAACTGTACATTTTACCCGGACTTGAAATCTCTTTTCCTTTCAAAGGCAGGAAATCATGAGAGACATAATTTCCATTTTATTAGAGCTAGAAAACAGTGTAGCTTGCTTTGGAACAAACCAGGATATAAAACTGGAAACTATCTTTAAAGAGAGGTTTTTAAAGTCCATGATGGCTGGTTGCATCAATCAAGGGAAGAGTGGGGGGTTACTTGTGAGGAAAGTCACACTGGTATCTTAGCTTATTAAATTGAGATAGGGTTGTCTGAACTCTGTCAACGATGTAAAAATTTCTCTCCTACTTATAGAAGAGCACCCACTGCTTCATGCCTTGGAAATATTTTCTGAGGATTAGGTAACACAAGAAGTGAGCAACCTAAGACAGCAGCAGGTTGACTGATGAGTTTCAAATGGATTTTAGAGCCAAGCGTTGACCCTTCTGGTTTGTGTGGCTTTGCTTTGGCAACCTGTCTGAATCTAGCCATTGTGGTTTATAAAGAATAGTTTATAGAGTAATGTTATGTATTAATCAAACCATGGTTTAAAAATCTATGAGTTGGCATGGATGCATGCCAATATGATTACTCAATCACAGTGGGTGATTTTTTTTCCCACCAAACCCACTTCCCAATGAGGATGCAACAGGGCAACTGTGTGTGTCACACTGAGCTCCTTCAAAAAAGGAATAGGATAAACAGCTAATCAGGAATGGTGTAGCATTTATTGCATGCATGTGTGTATGTATATGAAAACAATAAGCACGCAAACAATAAGAGCTGTGAACATTATAGTCTTATCAAGGACAATCTGTAGAGCAGGAGGGACAATTTAGGATGGTGTTGTGTGGCTCATTTTTAAGACCCTCAGTCATTCATCTTTATGCCCCCCTCCATGTATGCCCACACTTCCACCCCCTCCTCTCATTTCTCCTTTCTCACCTGCCACCCTGAGCCTTGGTCTATTGATCTCAGCAGCTTTCAAATTGGTATCTGACAGAGCCTTAAACCTCTCTTCTTTTCTTAGGCCCACGAAGGTGGCCTAAGGATTAATGAGAAATGTCAATGCTATAGAAACCATAGCAGTTTCATCACACCCCCCCATCTCATTCAAAATCATGTTTAAGGCTCCAGAGATCAAGGAGGACTGGTGCAGAGACACAGAAAATTACACAATTATTGGGGGGCTGCCCCAGGCTCAGGCTGAAGTGAAGGGACAGGGAATGGTGGGGGTATCACTTGTCTTCCAACAAAAAGCTGCCACTTTAGAAATCCCTCGTATTATCCCTGCAGTGCCACAAACCCTATTAAATTGCTGGAAAAGGAGCTTTGATTTGGGGCAGGATGGGAGAAAGGCTTAGATAAGTCGTCTGTCCTTGTTTAAAATTATTTTCTGAGGAGCTGACCTCCCTTGGTTTTAATGTCAAGGCAACAAATCGAGCAAGTCAAAGGATTCCTTTTGGGTTCAAGACAGAGCCAGGGCGACCGCTTGGGAGCTATATTTAGGAAAGACACAGATCTGCTATTCCTGCTGAGCATTACCTGAGCTGACTTTTAGCACCCTAGTTTTAAGGCCAGGAGAGACTGAAGGCATTGTTTAGCTAAGCCAGCCCCTTTGTACAGTGATTTTCAGTGTCTGTGACATGCACATCAGATTATTTCTTCTTCGGGTCATTAAAGCTGCAAAGCAAGAACAGCAAGGGAGAAATTAGGCCAAACTGTTACTGCATATACAATGAGAAGTAAGGAAGTGGGGAAGAGTTGGTGGTGTTCCTTTAGAACTAATCCCCAACAGGTGTTTTTTGCGGGAGTTGATCTTTTCCCAAATCCAATTCAATCAAAAATAAGAGAGTGCCATGGATGAGGGAGACAGCATCCCTGGGTAGCTATCAGACCCTCTGGGATCCCAGCAGTGTTCTTCATTGATATCTTCCCTGTATCTTCTTAAATATTTAAATTTCCCATGGTACCCGAGATAGTGCTATGCTGGAGTAGGAATTAGGGCCCAACTGCGTGGAGCTGCAGCTTTTTAAAAGTCCATCAGCAGGAGGTGTCCATTAGAAAGCATTTTGTTCTGAGCCTTTTTAAACCTGATGCCATCCCCTTAGTGGGGCACTAGAGTTGAGTATGTAGGCTCCAGAAAGTTGCAAAGAACACTTTCTGTTCTCCTTATAATAAGAGTAGGTTTGAATTCCCTGTTGTTGCTTTGGGTGCTTATTTACCTTATCCACTTGCTGACTGGAAGTTCTGGAAGTTGCTGTCTTAAGGCTGCTAGTGAGAACTAAGTTGGGGAAGACTGCAATATAAAATACTGACAGGGGTAAATAGTTTGTCCCGTTCTGCTGCATTTTTTTCTTCCAGCATTCATTCATTCTGAAGAAAGAGAATTTGTTTTCAAAATTTATTTCAATGGAGAAGAGATTTTCCATAATATTTTGATGGGTGGAGGGAGCATGATGTTCTTGATTTGGTAGGTTATAAGATGGCCAAAGAATGATTATCAATGTCCTGTTTTTCATTATGCAACTGTTTCTTTGGAGATCTGTATCTGTCCTGGCTTTCTGTGCTTCTCTTCAATTTTAATGGAAGATCCTATCAGCCTGTTTTAGATTGGAAATTTTGGGCAGCTACGGAGGCCTCAGAGAAATGGAAAGATGGGTTAGCGTAAAACAGCAATTCCAGTAG